CAGGAAGGAGGTTTACAGCACTTCAATTCTTAGCATTTCAACTAGGTTAATCATCCATGTGTGGTAGATACAATCAGGCAGAACAGGCAAGCTTAGCAAGTAAATCTAAATCAACATTTTAAACAGAGTTTTCTATCAAAATGCAGAGTTCTTACAGCATTCATCAAGGTATTTCATTTTTTTTCCCAACATTAGCTGCCATGTAGGTGTTGGGAACCAAACCCAGGTCCTCTACAAGAGCAGCCGGTGCTCTTAATTTCTGAGCCATCTCTCCAGCCCCCTAAAGTTTTATTTAAATGTAAATTCTCCTGGTGTTGTCTTAAATAAAATAGTAGATAGAATTCTGTTTTCTTCTGCACATTGCAAGTGATTACTCAAAATTTCAGTACTGTTGTCTGGAAATGCTAATCAATTTTATCAGGATATTCCTAAGTAGACAAATATAAATTTGAATGGTGCATTTTGTTTAGAATAATGTTAAATGTACAAAGTAAGTGCTCAATAACTTTATTAGCCAAAGAACAATATGAGTGGTTTGAGAATATTTTTTATATGATGTGATAAATACCTCGTTATTATTCTGCCTTTTCAGAATGTTTCCAGTCATTGAATATCCGTTTTTCAAAATTATTTTTATACTTTTTTCAGTTTATCCAAAGGATATCCTTTTCTTCCCCAAAGAATATCTTTTTGAGGTTTGATTAGAATAGAATTAAACTATAGGTTATTTTAGGGAAGAAAAAGCATTGTTAATATTGCCTTCCCATCCAAAAACAAGAGGTTATTCACATTTTGTGTGTATTCGTAAGTAGATTTTATAGCTTTCTTCATAATTGATATTTATTATTGTTAAGTATTTAGTTCATATTTACTCTGCTAGACATGGTGACACATTGTAGCAGTCATAATTGATATGATCTGTGAATTTGCAGATGATAGAACACTAGAGTGAAAACACGGGTCAGTAATGAATGGCATTATTCACCATTTGTTTCTTTACCTTATTTTGGTGCTGAACATCAAACCCAGGGCCTTGTACACAATAAACAGCTCTTGCTATCCCAGCTACACCCCCCAGTTCCTTGTTTCAAATTTTTCACTACTGAAAATTATGTTTACCACTGTAAATTACTTTAACTTCAATTTCTTTTTTTTTAATTTTGTTATTTTTCAAAATTTTATGTGTATGCATGTATTGCCTGCATATAGGTAAGTGCACCTATGTCGTGCAATGCCTGCGGAGGTCAGAAGAGGCTGTCGGATCCCCTGGGACTGGAGTTATGGACAGTTGTTAGCTGGCAGTGGGTGCTGGGATTCGAACCCAGGTCTTCTGCAAGAACAACCAGTGTTCTTAACCACTGAGCCATCTCTCCAGCCCTAACTTCAATTTCTTAAGTTATAAGGATATTCAGATTATCTGTTTCATCTGTTCGGAGTTTTGGTGATATGGGCTATTGCCGACGCTCAAAAAAGCCAATGACAAATCAAAAAACTGATGAGAGTTAGACCTCTTAAAGTCGAAGAAAACAATGAGGATGATAACATCACTAAATGTCTCAGAAGGAAGTAACTTAATAGTAAAAGATTCAGAGAGGGACATAAGAAAATTGATGTAGTCCGTAACTATTTTAGGGAAAATTATATTTAGATCATGCTGTAATACTCAAGGTTGTATTCTCTTAAAACTTTGTTGGAAATACTATACTTATTCTTCATTCTAAGAATTAGCTTTTTAAAAAATTTTAAAAAATATTTATTATTTTTATTTTATGTGTATGCATGTATTGCCTGCATATAGGTAAGTGCACCCGTGTTGTGCAATGCCCGCAGAGGACAGAAGAGGCTGTCTGATCCCCTGGAACTGGAGTTATGAACAGTTGTTAGCTGCCATGTGGGTGCTGGGATTTGAACTCAGGTCTTCTGTAAGAACAGTCAGTGTTCTTAACTGCTGCACTATCTCTCCATCCCCAGCTTGTTAAAATTTTGATCTAACAACCAGGCGTGGTGGCTCATACCTTTATTCCTAACACTTGGAAGGCAGGGGCAGGTGGATCTCTGAGATCAAGGCCAGCCTGGCCTACATAGCAAGTTTCAGGCCAGCTGGGGCTACAGGGAAACTGTCTCAAAAAATTAATACAAATTTTGTTAACTATATAACCCTATATAAACTGTATTATTTTCATTTCACATGTAAAGACCAAGTAGTCCTTTGCACTATTTACTACTATTTATCACAAAATTTTGATTCTCCCTTTAAATTTGGGACTTCAAATTGAGCTCTTCTAGTACCAATTTTCTTTTGATAATTAGAATTGTATTTATTCAAACTAAAACTTAAGAAGTCTATTCTGAAACTTTTCCAGTAATAGTCAATGAATTGTTTGTTTGTTTTTGAGACAGGGTCTCCTTGAAGCCCCAGCTAGCCTGGATCTCATTTTGTAGAACAGGCTGGACTCATCTCATAGAGATCTCCCTGCTTCTGCATCACAAATACTGGGATTAAAGGCATGTACCACCATGCCCAGCCTTTCAGTGAATTGTTTAACTGTGTTGATTACCTCATTGAAATTGGATCAAGGGACTTTTACTTCTCAAATTCAAAGATCTGTACATCTATGTATCTGGATGGGTGGTAGATATAGATCTTCAGCACTGGGATAGTATCTGACCTTTAATTAGATACCTAACAAGTAAGAATGAATGAGAACTAAACAGAAAAATGTCATCCTTGTCATTAGAAAATTTATAATCTAATTACATAGCTGGACCAATATAGACAAATGATCAAGGATATGTAACATGGAGAGGAAAAGATCATTTCAGTGGAGCTAGGTAGTTAAGTTTTAATTTGAAGGCATTTAAATTTGATTCAGGAGGAATTGGGAGTGACAAATTTTGCAGACAAGAACTACATGATCTGTGAGTACACAAAGCTACTCTTGGAAGACTGTATTGGGTATAGTAGGGTTATTATTTTTGTCATGTGGTTGTTATGAGCCATATCTTTGGTTAATGGATATGTATAACAAGGAGCAGAGCTGTCTGAAAATATCAGTAACTCTTGAATCTTCTGGTTATGCTTTTCAAATACTGCATTTTGAAGCTATGACCATTGATAGGAGTTTACTAAAAAGATTAAATAGATTTTTTTCTGTTTTCCCATTTTTTTTTCTGAAAAACTCCCTACAATATTAAACTTTAAATATGAAAGCATAAGGGCTGGGAAGATAACTAAGTTTGGTAAAGTGCCTGCTGTGCAAGCATGAAGACCTGAGTTTAGAGCCCCAGAACCCATAAAAAAAGTCAGCCATTGTGGTACATGCCCGTAAACCCAGAGCTGGTGGGGCAGAGACAGGCAGATCCCTCAAGCTCATTGGCCAGCCAACTTAGCCAAATCTGTGTGCCTCAGATTCAGTGAGACCCTGTCTCGAAAAAATAAAAGGTGGAGCATGATTGAGGGAAGACACCAGACATCTCCCTCTGGTCTCCATACACACACACATGTGCACATACCTAAACTAACAAGTATATATACCACATATAACCACACCACACACATACCTGCATATACAAAATGAAAGCATTAATATAGTCACACACTGTATATCATCACATACAACAGCTGTATAAACCTTCAAAGTAGTTCAGCACAATTGTGTACACCTAGATTTCATAACTAATATGTTTTGTAGTCTTCATTTTTTCTCAAGTTCTAGTTTACACTTTGATACAGAGTTTTGTGGGGTTTTTTTGGCCTTTTTGAGACAGGGTCTCCCTGTAGCCCCAGCTGTCCTGGAACTCACTATGTAGACCAGGCTGGCCTCGAACTCAAAGAGATCCGTCCGCTTCTGCCTCCCGAGTGCTGGGATTAAAGGTGTCCGCCACCACATCCAGCTAATGACGTATTTTTTAAAAAACCCAGAGACCTTCATATATACCAACAGTGAACTTGCAGAGAAAAAAATTTGGAAAAATATATCCTTTTTAATAACCACAAAACAAAGCAAAAGTACTTAGGAATAAATGTAACCAAAGAAGTGGAAGACCTCAACAATGGAAACTTTAAGATATTGAAAAAGGAAATCAAAGCAGACACTAGACAATGGAAAGACTGTCTATGCTTCTGTATTGGAAGAATTAATATTGTAAAAATAGCTATACTGGGGCTAGAGAGATGGCTCAGCAGTTAAGAGCACTGACTGCTCTTGCAGAGGACCCGAATTTGATTCCCAGCACCCACATGACAGCTACAAACCATCCTTAACTCCAGTTCTCTTCTGAACTCTGTGGCGTTGCATGACACGGGTGCACTCACATGCATGCAGGCAATACACTCATACACATAAAATAAAAATAATGAATGAAATATTTAAAAAATAGCTATACTACCAAGTTAATCTACACATTCAGTGCAATACCCATCAAAATTCCAATGTCATAATATATATAATTTAAAAGAAAGTATCTGGGTGGGGGAGATGGTTCGGTTGGCATAGTGTTTGCCCTGTAAGCATGATGATCCAAGTTCAGATCCCTAGGACTCATGTAAAAGCCCAGCATGAAGGTGCTATCTGTAATTCCAGCACTGAAGATCTGAAGACAGGTGGATCCCTGGAGCTCACTGGGCAGCCAGTGTAGTCAGTCTGTGAGCTCTGGGTTCAGTGAGTGACTGTCTCAAAAATAAGATAGAGAGTAACTTAGAAAGACACCAGACATTGACCTCTGCCTCCACGTGCACACACACACATGCATACTTACACGCACATGTCCACACATATACAAAAACATATGTAGATATACTGCCCACAAAAAATTTTATCAGTAGTTATTATCAGTAGTTCCTTCTGACAGTAACATGATTGCAGCTAATACAAAATTGTTTATAGTCAATCTCTTTAACTTATACCAACACCAGTTTGTCATGCTTTGTAATATTTGTAGAGAAAGCAGCTCGTGTTGTAATACGCACTATTTAAAAGTTTTAAAAATTATTTCCTTAGGCAACATAACTTCTGAAACTATGATGGAAATTCTCCGTGATAAACCAAGTGGCATCAATATGGAGGGTGAATTCCTGACCACTGCAAGCATGGTGTCTGTTCTGCCTCAAGATCCCAACCTTCCCTGCATTCACTTCTTTACAGGGACTCCTGATCCTGACAGGTGAAGTCCCAAAATATTGTAAAGCAGCAAGGAGTTATGGGATGGGGTAAAATCATTAGTATGTACATGATTTTGTCAGTATAAATTTTTATTACATAAATAAGAGTATAATTTTTTAATATATTCTGCTTAGGTTTTAGTTTGCAATTTCCATGTGTGTATAACTGTTCTTATTTTTATGGGCAGAAAAGCTTAGTGGATTCTTGTATGCAGTTATCCTTACTCCATTTTCCCGCAAATATATTTAATATTGTCAAGAAAAGAAAATTGATTGGTTTTCTTACTGATTTCAGACTTTACAACATTAAGTGATTAACAACAGTAAAGCGG